AAAAAAATTATTTTTCGAGATTTTATATTATTATTTCATTTTAATCTGAATTTCATTTTAATCTGCCACAATTATTAGGGATCGTCAAAATCATTGACAGAAATGTCATCGTCCAATAAGAGAACTGGATAAATTAGCTATTCACGTTAAGACTAGCAACTTTATACGTATGAACTTTGAAATTACAATGGATCTCCCAAAGCATGAAAAATTCACCGAAGGCTCACAACAAGGTATCCGAATTTGTGGCTGGACGATCTCAACTACTAAACTTCCAATTTTTAGCTCACAAGAAATTGATCGGTACTCTTATTTTAATTATTACTTTCCTGTCGAATCGCCGTTAAATATTTGTGATCAATTCACACTTTTTTCAAAATAGAGTACAAAAACAACTTTCTATTCCACTCCCGGAAATGTTTTTTGGCAATAATAAATTACAAGTAGCCAATGAACACGGTGTTGTTTTTGAATTATCACCGGTAGATGCGTTAAAATTCGTTGATGCAACAGAAGAAGGTGGAAATAAAGTTAAAGTCGCATATTCAGAAGAATGGAAGCATAAAAGGTAATGTTTAAATCAAGAAAAATGTTTCAGCAGTCAGAAGATAATAGATTAGCTTGATTTTATTTGATAGTGCCAAGAATCATGGACATATCAAAGATGTAGTCAAACCTTACGATTGGACATATTCCACTTCATATTCTGGTACATTGATACATGGGCTGGTATGTTATAATTATTCATAATGGCACAATTTTTTTTTCAGATAATTTCCCTTTGATCAACTTAATAACTATTATCTTTATAATAGCAAGAGTTTGAAAAAACTACTGACAGAATTAATGTGGAAAAACTCAAACTTCCTGAACCGATTTTATTTTATGATGAAGTTATTTTGTTTGAAGATGAATTAGCCGATAATGGAACTGCGATACTTAATTCTAAAGTGGTGAGTTTAACATCACCAAAAAAGCTAATATTACAATATTCACATCAAATAAATATTAGAGAAATAAATGAATTTAAAGATAAGTTATGTAATTGTCCCTTATTAATTTTTTTTTTAATCGTGATGCATTAATTCATCTAATTTAACTGATTATAGCGAGTTATGCCATCTGGATTTTTCATACTTCAACGATTCTTCCTACGCGTTGATGATGTATTATTTAAACTGAACGAAACAAGAGTGTATCATGAATTTGGAACAAATTATATATTAAGAGAATATTCTTCAAGAGAGATTCCTTATAATAAAATTAAAGCGGTATGTCATTTCTTAAAAGTCGCAATTATTAGAATTTATTTGACCAAATAATTGTAATTTATGTTAATAGCAAATACCAAAAGATAAAGGCAACGACATATCACAACTCACAGATCCAGATTGGGTATCTTCTAAATTACCAAAATCAAAAGAACATGACTTAATATTGGAAAGGTTGCGTGTTGTTCCTTTATTATCGTAAAATGAATGGTTAAGTGCATTAAAAGGTAAGTTACAGAGTTATGTGAGCGAATTTTGGAATTTAATTATAAATAGTATAGTGCAGATCATGCTAAATAATATGGAATTCTAGATTATGTAATTTAATATATTTAAGTTAATATAAATTTTTAAAAAAAACGAGATTATGTAATCGATAACTCACCGACAAGCCATTATATTATACGTAAATTTTTTTATAATTAAATTTTGGGATCTAAGTTACGTTCCATATTAAATTATTATAAAAAATCGATTTACTCTGCCTTTAATTTCTCCTGCAATATTTAACATTTTTAAATTCTGTAAAAGTAAGATGTTTAATGAAAAGTGTAATAATATTAGAATTTTATCTCACTTATTGAAATATGTCACGGCTTACCTGGGTGTCTGCTATCACACGATTTACAAACATAATGCAGGTCACATGCGGGCTGCATAGTAAATCGATGGCCGGGTTTACAGTATAAAAATAACTTTTGAACCAATAAACATGTACAAATAAAATTATATTTGCCGAAGCTCTCTTAACGTGCTCTTTAAATTTA